GAGAGCTTGAGAGGCAAAAAAATTTCGTGGGTAAAAATTTTGGGTGAAATTTTTAATTTAGGGTTAAAATTGGGCACTTTTCATGGCCGGCCTGGCCCGCCACTAAAACTAAAACTACAATGGCGGGCTAGGCCCGACATGGATACTTAAAAAATTTAAAATAAAAAATTTGGCGTGTTTTTTAGCATGTCCGACATGGTTGCCTCCGTGTTTTTCTTGTCCGACATCGTTTCCTCCGCATTTTTTTCGTCCGACATTAAAACTAAGATTTGTTGTAGTGGTCACTTCGGCTCAGAGATTACGTCCGTATTTACAAGCCCATAGAATAACTGTCCTCACCAATTTTCCCCTTCGACAGATCTTGCAAAGGCCAGACACTTCAGGGCGACTGGTAAAGTGGGTCGTGGAGCTCAACGAGTACGACATTTACTGGTAAAGTGGGTCGTGGAGCTCAACGAGTGCGACTAGCTGCAGCTTATGAAACCTACTTGGGAAGAACTGTGCCGGTCGAGATTTTGCCCGAGCCGAGCATAGAAGCTCAGGAAATAATGGATATTGATGAGCAAGGGCAACCAGAAGAAAGCTAGATGAGTCATTTGATCAGGTATTTAAGAGATGGGATCCTGCTCAATGAAAGGATAGAGGCCCAACAACTACAACGACGAGCAACCAGATATGTGCTTAAAGATGAAAATCTATATAAAAGAGGCTACTCGTTGCCACTCTTAAAATTCTTCCCACTCGACGAAGCTGACTAAGTCATGAGAAAGATACATGAGGGTGTTTGTGGGAACCATTCTGGAGCACGATCCCCAAGTCACAAAATAGTCCGACAAGGGTATTATTGGTCGACCATGCAAAATGATGCAACACAATTCACCAAAAAGTGCGATAAATGTCAGCGTTTTGCAACAGTACCACTCTTAAAATTCTTCGCACTCGACGAAAGAGAAAGATACATGAGGGTGTTTATGGGAACCATCGGAGCCACTAACAGGCATAATGAGTCATTGGCCCTTTGCCTAATGGGGAATAGACCTTATAGGACCTCTTCCGCCAGGAAAGTGCTAGACGAAATTTGCAGTAGTAGCAGTCGATTATTTCACCAAGTGGGCCGAAGCCAAATTCCTAGCTACAATTATCGAGAAAAAGGTCACCGATTTCATCTGGAAAAATATAATTTGCCACTTTGAAATACCCTACACCATTATCAGTGACAATGGGAAACATTTCGACAATGCTGCTTTTTCAGAATTTTGTAGGGAGCTAGACATTAAACACATCTTTTCTTCGCCAGCGCACCCGCAAGCTAATGAGCAGGTTGAGGTAGTTAACAAAATCTAAAAACCAGATTAGAGAAATGTAAAGGGTTGTGGGCAGAAAAACTTCCTAATGCATTATGGGCTTACAGAACAACACCCTATATATCGACGGGAGAAACGTCGTTCTAGCTATCATTTGGTTCTGAGGTAGTAGTGTCAGTGGAGATTAGTCTCCCTTCCCCAAGGATAGAGTAATTCAGTCTACCTGACAACAATGAATCCACACAGCTCAACCTCGACTTGTTAGAAGAACATCGAGAAACGGCGCGATTGCGAACGACCGAGTACAAAAATCAAGTAGCTCGATACTACAAGTTGAAGGTTAAGAAGCGTGACTTTAAAGAAGGTGATCTAGTTTTAAGAAAGATCATGCCTAATACCAAAGATTCAACTAGTGGGGCGTTCGGACCAACATGAGAAGACCCATACAAAGTCACTAAAGTAGTTCGAACGAGCACTTACACTTTGGAAGACCAATATGGGAAGGCCTTACTACACCCATGGCATGCTCAGCACCTCAAAAGATACTACCACTAGGTCGACACATTTATGTGCTGAACCACCCTTATCTTAGTCAACTAAAGTTATTTTATTGTAACTAACTCTTCGGCATGACGATTTTTTTCCTAATAAAAGTCTTCGACATTTGATATGGTACTTGAGTTCTTATGTTCATTCTGAAACAAATTTCTCAAGTAGGGGCATTCTGTGTAAATATCTACGACCAGTCAAGAAACTCAGAATTGGGACAGACCTAAAAGCAAGCAAAACAGGCAAAAAACCAATAACGACTCAACATGATTGAAACAAAAGCAGGAAAATACAGGATATAAAACTATTTGGCAAAAAAAAATCAAACAAGTTAGAAATCCAGAAATATCAACACTAGTTCTGCTAAGGTTAGATCCCAGAGCCAAAAATGAATGGTTAAAATCAGATGAGTGTAAAGCCAGGCTCAGGAGATTTGATTGTGACCAACAAAAATTGGAAAAACTTCCAATCCACGAAATAATATCGACAAGCTCAAGGTATAAAACTAGTAGCAGAAACCAAGCATTTTAAAATCCAAAACTAGATACAAAAAGCCTTTGGTAAAAACTCCGTAGGTTAAAAACCTTGGCATAGTTAAACAACTAATACGCATATAAACTATGATATGATCTTGTGGTAGTAACAGGTGACAGGTACTCTCAACAGAAATCTTAAATGCGGTCATTCGTCTTCTGTCTTGAGAGTGGGGGCCATTGTTTTAGGGAACAAAACGGACCAAACGAAAATAAAGGTCGGACCGTGAAGAAACTCGAGGTCATCAACGATTGGGGCCGGCCTATAACGTAAGGGCCGGCCCATTTTTGAAAGCCGACCCACCTCGGCACCGAGACCACCTCGGCACTGAGGCGTCAACTTCACCTCAGCGCCAAGATATCTTGGCCTTCGGGGTTGGAAGATTACTCGATCTCTCCCTCCGGTTCCTATGCCAAATGATTGATACCCCAGCTTGGTGTCGAGCCCAGCATTCTCTCTCTTCTGTTGTCTATGAAACATTGGACCTTCACAACGATCATCTAGGACTCATTTAGAAGGTTTTAGAACCTTCCAAGCGACTATAAATAAATCATGTTGCCTAACCCTAAGGTAACCAAGAATTACACTATAATTACTTTGTTCATCAACTCTCCTATTGCTAACTTAAGCATCGTAGCTCGTGTGACAAAAGTCACACCAATTTAAGTTTTGTTCGGTTTTGCAGGTCTTCGGTCCCTTGATCATCGAGCTTGGTGCGAACCTCGGAGGCAACCGGGAGAGCATAATTCACGCATCAACACCTTATTTTACATATCTAAGTATTTCAGGCTTCTTATGTTGGCATATAAAAGCCAACGTTTCTCTATTTTGTAACCTAAATTGTTGATGATATTTGTTTGAGGATGAAAATCGTACTGTCACGTGGAGGACAGAAGGACATCCAACTTGAAGATCTTTCCAAATGGCCGACTTGAAGATCTTCGTTGGTGGCCGACTAGCAGATCTTTCTTGGTGGGCGACTTGAAAGTCTTCCCTAAAGACCAACCTCATCATGACCTTGCCTAAAGGCCATCCTCATCCAGGTCTTATAGTTTATGTACTATAAACTGTTGCTTATGTTGGGTTTATTATTGTTTGATATAGTGTTTTTTCGTTTGTTCCTTATAGATAATTTTTAGCTAAGTTTATTATAGGCTTATGTACTATAAACTGTTGCTTATGTTTATGTTTATTTTTGTTTGATATAGTTTTTTTTTCCTTTTTTCTTTGTAGATAATTCTTTTAGTTAAGTTATTCTATTTGGATAAGTCATGGATGAACAAAGATAGAATGTCAATGGAATATAACTTAGGTGTTGAGAAGTTCATTGAAAATGGACTACGACATTCAAAAGGGTCAAACTGCATATAATGCCTTGCTTGAACTTTGCAAATGCAGTTCTACAAGAGTTGAACATAGTTAGAGAACACTTATTTATTTATGGTATTGATAAGAGTTATAAAATATGGATTTGGCATGGTGAGCAACTACCTAAGGATGAAAGTGGTACTAGTAAGGGAAAAGAAGATTATGATGATGATGACATAAAGAATACAACTAATATGTTTGAAGCTGCACAAGACTATTTTTCAAATAAGTTTGAAAACTTTGAAGAACTATTAAGTGCGACATGTTTAAGATAGTAGACCCATCTGAAGTTGTGAAAGAAAGTTATTCCTCATCAGACGAACGTGCAAAAAAGTTGGCTAACATTTTCGCTTTAGGACAAACAAACCAAAAAATAATGATACCTTACAATAGCGGGTAAGAAACAATGTTTTTTAAAACACGTGGTTATCATAATTTAGTTATTTTATATTTGTTTCGTTGATGTCAACTTTTTTTCTTATAAGAATTATTGGACATTATGTGTTGTTGATGTGCATAATAATATGATTTATGCTTTAGACTCTTTGCAACCCTGTTATTAAGGAAGACATTAAATATGTTGTGAATAGGTAAGTATTATCTATATTTTTAGTTTGATACATTAATGTGTAGGATTGATGACTTATTTTTTTTTAAATATATTTAGGGCTCTGAGAAAAAATCCTACTTAGCTTCTTCTACGGGTAAGTATAACTATATTACTTTATGTTATTATTTTTTAATAAGTTCTAAAACTTAGCATTTTTATATATGTATAGTGCCCACGTCAATCAGGATCGGTTGAGTGTGGATGTTATGTCATGAGGAAAATTCGACAGATAATGCATAATCGAGACACTCCAATACCTAATCTTGTATGTCTTTCATGCACACTCAAAACACAACTCTAATTTTCATATTCGAATTATATACTTATATTATTTATACTTTATTATTTGTAGTTCAATTCAAAAAAGCCATATACTCAAGCCGAACTTGATGAGGTACAGGATGAACGGGCCGGACRCTTAGTTTGGGTTAGATAGTAAATATAGTTTTATCGTTTTAGCCTTTTAATATGTAAAACATTGAACCATTTATATGTTATTTCAATATGCATTGGTTGTATTTGTGAGCTACTCAACATTTTGCTTAGTTTGTTCATTTAACACTTCTAAATATTGCTTACTTAATGAATTAGATATATGTAAAACCTTGAACCATTTATATGTTATTTCAATATGCATTGGTTGTATTTGTGAGCTACTCAACATTTTGCTTAGTTGGTTCATCTAACACTTCTAAATATTGCTTACTTAATGAATTAGATATTATAGAAGGATTACCGTGTGTTGTAGTTGCTGAATTTCTGAATTCTATTGAAGATATGTATTAGAATTTCTACTGATTGTATTGGTGGTATGCTGATGATTGTGTTTGTGATGTGTTGATACAAATCTTTTTTAATTATTAATTTATTTTGTACGATTGTTTGGCTAGAAATATTTTGATACAGGTCTTTTAGGTATTATGGTATGTGGAATATTTTATTCATATTTTTGTTTCAGGTTTTGTAAAAAACAATGTCAGTTCTAAACTAACATTGTAGCCAACTGACATTGTAATTATGAACGAAAACAATGTCAGTTATAGAGGAACGATGTCGGATCTATCAATGTCAGTAATTAACTGACATTATATGGACAATCAATGTCGATCTGGAACTGACATGACAGACCAACCGACATCGTAGGCTACAATGACACCACAGTTAATGTCGGTTGGGAACTGACATTGAAATAACCGACATCAAACATATACAATGTCGGTTTTATTGATGTCAGTTGGCAACCGACATTATTTGAGAAATGACATTGTACGATGCGATAACACCCGGGTTAATGTCGGTTTGAAAACCGACATCTAATATGTATGATGTCAGTTGACAACTGACATTACAGGCCAATTTTGTAGTAGTGTATACTCCAAGCTTGAAAGATGCAAGTCACCACTTAGGCGGATTTTCAACCCAAGAAAAACTTCTCTGTCAGGTCGAGACTCGGACTAGCCAGAGAGGGAGCCAATGTTTGGGGATGAAAATCGTACTACCACGTGGAGGATGGAGAGAGGTGCAACCTGAAGATCTTACTAGGTGGCCGACCTGAAGGTCTTCCCCTAAAGACCAACCTCATCATGGCCTTGCCTAAAGGCCAACCTCATTCAGGTCTTGCTTAAAGACCAACCTGAAGGTCTTCTCTAGTAGTCAACCTGACGATCTTCCTTGAATTATTTATGCACTCATTCTTGGCATATTCGGAAATAATAGTATTTAAGACCCGTTTAGTAGCGTTCTCCATTTTTATTTCTATTCCCTCTTTTTAATAAATAAAAATAGAATTGCATGATACTGACCCATGGATACAAGAATGATAAAACAAGATTTATATTTATGTTGGAACAAATTGAAAATTGGAACAAGAAACAAAAAACTTGTTTTTGTTGTTTCCAAAATTTCTATACAATTTTAAGAATGTTTCTAAAAAATTGAAAAACAAGAAACATAAATATTTTGTCAAATACTTAAATTTCATAATAAAATTAGAAACGGAAACTACGATACAAGAGAATAAAGAGGGAAATTGCAAAGCTAATTAATCTTTGTTTTTTATCTCAAGCTGTGAAGCTGAAGCCACCAAACCATGTATTCGTTACTTGTTTCTTCATGATCCCCAGGGAGTTGGAGGCAAGCAAATTTTGTAATGAATTTGCCTTTTTGTTCCGAGCCCTTCCTGCCTCTTTCAACAGTTCCTCCAGCCTTCTTTTTTCCTCATCAACCTCTGGATTTGCAGTTCCAAGCATTTCTTCCCTCACTTTAAGTATGTGTTCCAAAATCTCTATTGCTTCTCCCACCCTAAAAAACACACATATATTTGACAATCTCACGCTACAAGAAATTTGGTTTTTTGCCATAAAAAAACGTCTAATAAGTCTTTTGAATATTAGAATGTACACTTCAGTTAGATTGTTGTATTATTATTATTGTGTTAGTTACTTTCCCGATAAGTTATGCAAGTATTATTTACTCTCCAGTTTTAATATAATATCATAACGGGAGGTCCTATATTCGAACCCCTACGTTGTTGTTTCCTCCCATTTATTATGATTTCCACTTGTTGGGTCCTGCCAAGCCTACAAGTGAGGGGAGTGTTAGATATTCATAAATTAGTTAAATTTACTCAACACATCAACTTAAGTTTTTGTTCATTAATAAAGTTATACAAGTATTATTTACTCTCCAGTTTTAATATTGAGTGTTTCGAAGAGACTTTAGAATGTGAAATGTTTATGAATTTTACGTGRTACATTAATTAAYTTTGGAACTCTCTAGAGTGCTTCTTAAATACCTAATGTGTTCTTCATTTTAAGCTATCAAACTCAAATCAAGTAAAGTTCGAAAAATTCAATAGAATAAATTTTTCTTTCATATATTATTCTCTATCCATTCTAATTCCAAGCTACAAAAATTATTTAGTTTTTGGGTTTGGTTTGTGAAATAATTATGGTAGAGCAAAAGATTCGAATTGACGTGATTAATATGGTACACGTGAGAAAGTATTAAAAAAACATACATAATACATATAAACGATTAAATAAAGCGACAGTTGCAAATATTTCAAAAATATTTAGTAAAATTAGTAAAATAGTAACCACATTTAGTTTTTTCAAATGTAGCACTTAAAAAAAAATGGAAGTCTAATTTTAAAATGACAGCTTTATCCAAATGATATACATGTATAATATATTTATAATATATCTGTAATATATCTGACTACTGATATATACTTCTGATATACATCTAATATAAGCATATGATATATTTGTAATATGTATGTAATATACATATTATGTACTATTGATATAAGTGTCTATAAAATATATATATGTGATATACATCTAATATACTACTAATATGAGTGTCTGATATACTACTGATATGAGTATCTCATATACTACTGATATAAATGAAAATTTTTGCTATATTAGAAAATTTAAAAAACATGTGACGTTTTAAAATTCATAAAAGATTTTTGTTACCCACTGCAATTTCGCTTAAATAAAACCATAAGGTATCCATCTATGTTTTTCAAATGATTGATGATTTGTATGTACTATATGAGATTAAAATTTGTGTCCTATCATAAAATGAGTTTTTGTAGCATGTATGAATTGTCATTAAAGAGTATTTTGTGACACTTTTTAAACATCATCTAATATCAATTTTGTAAGAAGAGAATATATATAAAAGAATGTGTACCTGCCCATGGCATCAAAAGCAGCTGCGAGATTGCTACAAACTCCAAGAGTATAGGAGTGGTAAGTGCCATACTCTTGCTCCAATACCAACTTCGCCTCCTCAAACAGTTTTGCAGCCTCCTCTATTCTGTAGAGTTGAATGCAAGCCAATCCCATCTGGTTCACCAGAATCCCAAACAACACCGACTTCCCGGCTCCCCGAAGCTTCCCTATCGCTCCCTCGAAAGCCTTCCGCGCTTCCCCGTACCTCCCAACCATGTACAACATCACTCCCATTTCTGCCTCTATTCCCGCAATCGCGCTATGCTGCCCCCCTCCACCCTCCTCCACCGCCTTCATCGCCCTTTGCAAAACCCTAAACGCCTCCTCTGGCTCCCCCACAGCTTCGTAGACTGCAGAGATCTCCACGAGCCCACTCGAAAGCTCCTCACACGAGGCTCCTATGCCTGGCCTCGTGTAGATCCTCAGCGCATTGTCTGCGTAGGATTTGGCCTCTCTGGACTTGCCTGTTCAAAACTTAAATTGATGGGTCGAGAAAATTTAATTTGTATATGGATATCTCAATAGCTTCAAATACACTAAACACATCCAATTTATATGCTTTCAAGGGAAAGATTTAGACCATGTATCATGTAATAGCTACCTCTTAATTACATTCATGCATGTTGGGTTTTTAAGGTGAATGCCAACAAAGTCTAACATTGGTTAGGAAAAGAGATGATCATGGGTATATAAGATACGATAATTATCTCCATTGGTGTGAACCTTTTGGGTGGAACCAAAAGCAAAGCCGTGACGGTTATGTCTAAAGTGGACAATATCATACCATTATGGAGATACTTAGGATATACCATTGCCCTTAACAATGCATGCATTCATGAACTCAGATTTGATTAATCTTGACAACCTAAACACATAAATATTTAATTAATTACTGGTTTATTTATATGCAGAAGTGTACGTGCCTGTTTTGTTGTAGAGCTCCGCAAGGCGGATAAAAAGCGACGCCACAGAGAGGTGGGATTCGCCTCTCGTGGATTTGAAGACTATGAGAGCCTTCTGGTATGCGAAGATGGCTTCATCGAAGCGACAAAGAGAGAAGTAGATGTCACCAATGCTGACATCGATGGCAGCAACCTCGGCGTCATGGCCATGAGCGATCATGGCCATGCTGGCGAGAACGAGATGCTCGAGGGCAGACTCGTGATCGCCCAATGCCTCGCAGATCAGAGCCATGAGACGACGATCGGTTGCCTCCTCCGGGGATGATGGTGCGCTGTGTTGTTTGTGGATCTCTAATGTCTTCTTGCAGTACTTCTTTGCCTCATTGAATTGCATTGCTTGAACGTGAGCCTCCGCTAAGTACCTGCCATTCACTACAAAGCCTTCATATTCACCCAAAATGGAATAAGAATGGCTCATTTGTCATCTATATTTTGATTTTTAATGTCACGAAAATGATATATGTCAGATAGAATATATTACAGTTATATAAATTTTTTTTTTCATTGATAAAGTTTATACTATTGGGATTTATAATATAAAATATATCACTTATATACTATTTTTGTATTATTGATTAAGTATTTCATTATTTTTTTAGTAGAACATGTGAGAGTGGGGGATTGAACCCACAATCTCTTGATCTGAGATATATGTCAATTACTGTTGAACTAAACTCGTTTTGGCAAGTATTTCACTATTATACTTTATTTATATAAAGTACATTATTGATATACAAGATGTCTTATTTATGTCTCATTTTTGCAAAATATTTTACTGATCTATTATTATTGCAAAAACCGCTAACTTTACCCTTATAATTATTTTATAAATTAATCTTAAATTTAAGGTTAATTCTTTTTTTTTTAAATATAATTCTGTTTTTTATCCTAGAGTAACTAATAATGAAACTGTCAATTAAATTAAATGAATAAACGAGACTGTTATAACAGAACATTTATTATTACTTTCAATTAATAATATTCATGCTAAAAAAAATCAATTAATATTTTGATATAAATCTCAATCATTTATAATGATTTTTACTAGCTAATAAATATATTATAATACTAAAATTTTATGTTAATTCGTAAAGGGTACCCACAGTGAAAATTAAATTGTTGAGATAAGAAATATTATTTTATTAGAGATCTATTTTTTGTTCTTTTGATAAAATATTTGGGATCTAATTGAACATTCGATCTTCCTAACATAAGCAAAGTATAAAACAAAATAGATATTTAATTGCAAATGGTAATATCCACTGTGGTATTCATGTTAAATATTTCACCGCATAGTAAAATATTGAGTGTGAATTTTTATTTTATATTTTTAGATGACTGCATATTAAAATATTATTTGATGTAATAATTAACTATATAAAATTGTGTGAAAAAAGCAATGGTATAATATTTAATCATACAATAAGCAAACGTGTCAAAAAAAAAAATTTTCAAAGAGCATGCATGATTCTCAAAATTCCAATTCTAACCACTCATATAATATATATTGAGAAAATAAGACACATAATAAAGATTAAAGAAAAAATTATATAAAACCAAGCTCTTGAACTTAGATTTAAATAAATGTAACAATTTTTGGCTTATATATAAGTATTATTTTTTTTTAGCAAAATATTGTGAACCGTAAGTTCTGTTTCAAAATTAGTTGTTCGAGGAGAAAAGTAACTCATATATATTTACCTGCAAGTCTGTGCAACTTTGGGATCGGAGTCAGTGAAAGTATGAATCTGGATCATAAGTCCAGCCTCATAACAAGCTATGGAGCAATCCAACTGCCCCAACATTGAATAAGTATCCCCTAACTGCATATAACCGGAGTATTTAGCCACTGCGTGCTCCAGTCCATTTTCGACCTCCCGAACCACCTCGATTGACCGCTTCAGAACTGGAACCGCCTCCTCCAACCTCCCGAGCCGACAGTAAATGGCTGCCACCACGTGAAGGCTCATCGCCAGCTC